TTCCAAACCTCATAAATAATTTCAGAAAATAATTTTCTTTAAAAATTCATTTCTCGGGCTTGGGACCTCGGAATTCGATTCCGGGCACACGGCCAAGTCCCATAATTTCCTACGGACCCTCCGGGACCGTCAAATCACGGGTCCAGGTTCGTTTACCCACAACATTGACCGAAGTCAAATTAATTCATTTTATAGTCAAAATTAATCATTTTTCACAGATTTTCACATACATGCTTTCCGGCTACGCGCCCGGACTGCGCACGCAAATCGAGGTGATGTTAAAAGAGATTTTTTAAGGCCTCGGAATGCAGAATTCACTTTTAAAACAAGTGACAGCACTGGACGAAATGTCTTCGCGTTCGCGAAGTAGCAGTCGCGTTCGCGAAGGATTGCATCTGCTATGCATCGCGTCCGCGAGGTCTATGTCGCTAATGTTTCCTAGATAATGTATACTATTCTCTTCAAATTTACCCTAGTTTTGATTCTGATTTTGGGAATCAAATTGTATCCCTTCTCTTTTTCTATCTGTCACGGTCAAAGTATCCAGAATTATTTGACCAAATCTAGTACGGATCCCAAATCAACACTCATACTAGTGTCGTGTCGACACGGGCACCGCACCTAAAATGTCGTGTCAGAGCAACGTAGCCGGCTCGCGACTAGGATTTGGGTTATAACAGGGAAATATTTGTCACGGAACTCATAGCTTATTCTAATTATCGGGTTTGCAATTATATATTTATATATATCGATTAAATTTTCTAATACATCTATAATGTTTAAGTAAAAATTACTGAGTACTGTTCAAATGTCACCATTGCATTCTCCACTATTTTTCCTGTCTTATTTTCAAAATTAGAGTTCAGCAAGAAGATTGATTTTATGATCAATTACAAAAATTATTTTAGTTATACGAACTCTTTTCATACGAGGTCTATAAAAAGAAGTAAAAGATCAGTAAGTATGAAATTTATATGTAGAGTCATAAACTTCTAAAATTGGAAATGACCATATGAGATTATTTCCTTAGTTCGACCCCAATCTCTTCGCATTACCAAGACTACCTTCGTCGTCAAACAAAAAACACTGAAAAGCCTCCCATAAGGGTGGCATCGAGCACTTTATATTTTTCCTTGGAGAATTCATATCAGAACAAACTGGAGATAGAAATACCAGTAATGACATATGTGGAAACAAGCTGACAAAAAAGATGAACTAAAAAGGCCAAATACATAGACAACCACCTTAATTTGTCACGATTGTTCATTTAGACATCTAACGGAAGATGTTTCCTGTTAGACACTCAAAATACCATCAAAGTGTATCTATTGGACACTAATGTTCATGTCCAAAAAAGGATCAGTGCGTGAAGCTCAAACGTGGCTTACGTGGCAAAGTAACCAATTACAAAAAGCCACATCAATTAAAAGAAATCCACCTTGAATTTACTAATCCCCACAATTAGACCCGCTACCTTCCCCTTTCCCTGTCTCTTCTTCTCCCCTGCCCTCGTTCCGGCGACGAAATAAAACCCCTCGTATTGTATCGCCCCTTTCCCCTTCTCAAGTTACCATGTTCTTCAAGGAAAGAGAATAGAATGGCTTTACTCCTTTGTTTGGATGCTCCGTCGGTGGAAGTTAAGGATTTCATATGTAAGTTGGATTCAACATTTATTCTTAATATACACTCAAATTAATTTAGTTTCGAAAAGGTTACTGGTTTATTATTATCAACTATAAATGGCTTCTTTGCTTCTGAAAATCTTATTTCTTATATAACTCTGATATTTTCTTACACTCCATGTGGTTCGACAAGGATAAAAGGAAGGAAAATCAAAATCTGTTGATTTAGTTCTTTCAATAGAGCAGACAAATTTCAGTCCTCATTGTCTAGTGAGGATGTTGAAAGAATGAAAAACTATATTTGTTTTATCTTTTTTTAGGAGAAATTATTGATCATGTAGTGATAAACTTTTCAAACTCATGGATTTGGATCTTTCAAGTGAGGAACAGGCCTTCTGTATTCTTTGGGATGAAACACATTGGCTTGATGGAAAGGTAGTAACTTGCTGGAGAAAAAAGGGGCACAAAATGGGAGAGGAACGAGTTTGGCAACAGTAATATTTTTGTTTAAGAAGGTGAAGATGAGGGACGAAATAAACCGTAAAACAAAAGTTAGGTCAATAGATCCATATTAACTTACCCGCTCAGATGTGGGTGAATAACGCTACATTTGCCATGTCAGCATTTTGTGTCCAATAGATATACTTTGATAGGTGTCTAAGTGAAAAATCGTGACAAGTTTAGGTGGCTGTTTATTATTTGGCCAACTAAAAATTTAGAGAAGGCTCAAATGTCAAATACCAAGGTAAAGCAAAATACAGTCCAGAAATAACAATAACATTAATAGAAGTCATTACTATTGCATAATCATAACCACTTCTGAAAAATACTTAACACAAAAATGGAATAACAGCTTTTCTTTTCCTAGGATAATCTTCTCCAAATTTCTGCAAGTACCATTCATGATTAGCACAAGCTCTAGGAACCAAATTAGCAAATGTATACAGAAAAAAGCCAAGCCCGGCCCAAGACCAAGTCATTAAAGCCCAGCCCAACCACTCAACTATCTCCCCCAAATAATTTGGACAACTCACATATTCAAAAAGCCCACCTTTTGGTATCTTATATCCACCCCCTTCACTCTTCAGGCCCACTAACACTTTATCAGCCCAAACGTTTAACGTCATACCGGCGGCGAAAACCACCATCCCGCTGGCAAACCGTAGCCCAAACCACTCATCGGAATTAAAGTCAGCATAATGAGAAACCCATCTAGCTTGTACATAAGCATTCAAGAGATTAAACACAAAAGCCATCATCGCAATACTCACCGGAAAACCACTTTCCGGCGGAGGATTCTTGATTTTCCGGCGAGCAATTCTTGATTTTCCGGCGAGCTTAATTGGGTAAATGATGGTGCGATTGATGTAATGAAAAAGGTAAGGCGAAATGAGGATAAAGGATAATGGGTTGTTATGATTTTGCCCAAAGGGAAAGAGGAGAAGCGTGAGCCAAAGTGTTGGACTCTCCATTAAAAACCACGCTAACGGTGGTGAAATGGTGGGACCCCAACCGGAGCGGTGGTGTTTTCCATAAGGGGCGGTGAGGAATTGCAAGGCTAGGAAGGTGGGTGGGGCGATGAAGAAGAGAGAGAGGAGACTGTAGTGATAGAGATTTTGATCTGTAAACATGGTGGATGTAATTGTAATCTGCTTAGGCTTTTCGAATTGAATTTGTAGCAAATTTGATTTCTCTGTCCAAAAGTTGCTTTATAGAGATGGTTTATTTAAAGCAAATTTAATGATTACTTACTATCTTTGCTGTTGGCATTGGGTACACAAACTCTCTTTTTTTTTTAATTCAGATTTTTTTTTCTAAGCAATATTTTAAGGTCAAAACATTAGGATAAATATAGTATCAAATTATTATCCATATTCCATGTAACAACTAATTCTAAGTTTCTTTTACAATTTTATAAATCACTAACAAAATTAAAAAGATTCCAAATGAATATTAGACTTAAAATAAGTGTACTAGTATAAGATTGTGATAATTTTTTATAGCTTTACCTTCTAGGTTGCAGTGATTTGGTGACCTGATGACAGGAAAACCGGCAATCGAAGTCCTTTTCCGCCGCCTGTTATTATAACAGTTCTAAGGTAGCAAAATTTCTCATAAGGTTAATTCAAACCATTATTGATCTATGACAATCCTCCTCATTTATCCGAATCGAAAAAAAGACAATATGAAATGTGATATGTAGACTAGTTTAATACTCTTCTTTTTCCATTTCAAGTCAAATAGTTCAACTGAATATTGTACAAGCGCCTTAAAATGGCCTCAACACATACAATTAAAAAAATTCGACAAATGGAAGAAGAAAAAATACAAAATAGAAAGCAACTAATTGATCATGTTAATCTATCTATTTATATCTATCTATATTATTATAAAAATACATATAATTTATGCTAAATATTAAACGACTAAAATATCCAATAAATATTGATCGACTTTTATGCCCTTACATATTTACATAATTTAAGGATCTAATTATAAATTACCTAATGATGGAATTCTTTTTCGATTTAAACTACATATACACCAACCCTACAAAGTTGATTCTACCTGGATTAAAAAGGCTTGTCCATAATTTTCTTTTAAAAAGAATTATTATTCCTAATTACAAAAAAATATATAACTAGGAGAATAGGAGATTTATGTAGCATATTGTAAAGTCAATACAAGATTCTTCCTCACAATGTGTTGTATTTGAAAAAGGAAGAGTCTACATGCTTAATTTCCCTTCAGTGCGGTGTGAGCACATGATTTTTGCCATATATGAAATACTCCTATAAAATCCAAGAAAATAGATTTTTTCTTAATTATTTGCCATTTTTAGGAATTTTGTAGATTTTTTATTAATTATTTGCATTTTTCTTGCATGTTTAATTTTTATTTAAATCATAAAAAATACCAAAAAAATATCGCGCATTGCATTTAGGATTTATTTTTACATTTTTAGAAGTAATCAGTAATTATTCGTTGTATAAAAATTTGAAAATCACAAAAAATAACTCATTATTACATTTTTTTGTCTTTTAATTTTAGTTTATTGATTTTCCTCTTTTAATTTAGATTTAAGGGATGTTCACAATTTTTATAATTAGTTGATTAGTTTAATTTCGCATTTTTAGATAATTTAGGATTTTTAATTTAAAAAAAAAAAGAGAAAAAGGAATTAGGAAAAGAATTGAAAGGAAAAGGATTATATGTCTTGAAAAATTGGGCTAACTTCATATACAATTTTGGCCCAAATTGTTTCCCTTTAAATTAATTCCCCCAGCCCAAAAAACCGGACCAAACTCGTTTGTTTTGACCCGCTCGGCTCCCCTACTATATAAAGACTTTATAATTTTTTCCCAATCCAACCCTAGATTTAAAATAACACCGAAGCGGCGCACCCCCTTTTACTGTTCATCTTTTTCACTGAGCTTGCCCTCAACTCGCCTGGAGCTCACCCGAGTTCACTCATTGGTCCCCTCCTCTCCACGTCACCTCTATTTCCTAACGGATTTGTCATAGAGGAGTACGATTATTCCCTCAGAACCGCGGATTTTTGTACAAAAAGGACGATTTGTTGGACGAATAGGAGTCGTGGATAGATATGAATCAATCTACACCCTTCATTTGTCCCAAAAATTGTTCAAGAATTTAAAGGATTTTTCGAATTTGGGCAGATTTTTGGAGATTTTTGAAAGCTATATATATAAGGTAAGTTCTATGTGCTAGAAAAAAAAAATTATAGAGAAAAAAATCAGAGAAAAATTTTCAGAAAAAAGTTAGCCGAGTAAAATTTCTAAGGTTGAAGTCGTCACTTCTCTTGAAGATTTTTCTCAGTCTGTTTCTTTTTTTTTTCCCAGAAAAGATACAAAAAGCAAAAAGAAAACAAATGGCTTGAGTTCAGCTTTCATTCGAGTTTTTTTTAAGAGAAAAAAAAAAGGCTACTGAAACAGATATCCTTTTAGCCTTGGTTCTTTTCTTGATTTCTGGTTCTAAAAGGAAGCTTTGGATTAAATTCCAAGTTGAAGTTTGTGGCTGGGATTCTGAATTTCTAGGCTCTATTGATTCTGTCCGAGTAGGTCTTTCGCAATTTTAATTTGGCTATAGTTTCTGCTCAACTTTGTTGTCACATTTCTTTGTATTCGACTCCAGAATTAATTGAAACATTTCGCATTCAGGTTAACCTCCTATCTTCTTCTTTCTCTACTATTATTCATGTTGAATTGAAGCCTTGGAAGAATCATTAAGAGATGAGTTTAAACCTAAGTAATAGCAGATTTTTTTTTATTTCCTCCCCTGTTTACTTTATGTCATAATACATGATGCCCTTTTCTTTATGTTTGTCTGATGGGTTCGTGCATGGTTTGAGTGATTTGGAGGTGTTCTCTCTATTAGTTTGTGTAAACAAATGATGCCTACCATTGAGATCTGCAAATGTAATCGCTATGTTTTCATTTTTTTGGAAAAAAAACTGTCTTGTGACGAGCTTAGATTGGGTTAACACTTCAATTCCTCTAATTAATGTCCATACAACACTTCATGCTGATTAAATTTCTGGAATTCAAAAGATGATTTCTTGGGTAGTACGAGTTAAATTCTTGGTCAGCCCTGTTGTGGCCTTTCTAAGCGGAAAAAATGGATTTACTATGTTTGCTCAGAATTAATGCATTACCACTGTGATTTTCTGATTAATTAAGGGTGTCTTGAATTGGATCTTCATCTATTTATATGAGTTGAATATGTCTGCCCATTTCTTTAAGGCCGAGACTTAATTTCGTTTGAATTAGTTGAGTGTCATTCTTTTAGAATGAAGTTCTATGGCATGTTAACCTTCAGCTGAGTGTCTGCCACATTTCGTTGCTAAAAATGAGTTCTATTGGTGAATTTGTAGATTTCAAAATAATGTCCATAAGAACATGAATTTAAGATTTTGTTAAGTGGTCATCTTGTGTAAATCAACAGTGTCAAATGTGTTCCACATAAAAGGTCACAGTCTCACATTTGATTTCTCATGTTGCAGTATGAGTTAAAGTTTACGGTGATAACCTTTTTTCATGTGCAATTTTAAAATTCTCGTCGTATGTAAATTATGTGTCTATCCTCTGTTTGTTGTTCTTGTCTCCCATATTAATTAAGTCCCTATTGCTATTAAATTGTTTCAAGAATATACATATATGATCATTCTAGGCCATCAGCTTTATTTTACTACTAATTCACAACATGTGCTTTGGTGAAGCTCAATTCCATGGCCTGTCAAGTTCAACTTTTTTTGTCCTTTATTGCTAAGGCCTTTGATTTTTTCTATTAAACTGTGTGAGTGCAATTTTCATGCTCAATTCCTGAATAGTCAAAATACCTCTCCATGCTACGTTGCACGTCTATTTTTGTCTTTAGACCAAATGCTGGAAATGTTCATCTCATGAGTCCCTGTTGAGAAGCTTAGAAAATAATTCATGAACATTCATAGCTTTCTTTAAGTGCGCATTTAAAATTATTATAACTACGGGGTATGACTCCCGTGATGTGGTTGTGATAATTAGTTTTAAATAGTTTAAAAATAAGAATATCTTTAGTTTGGCCTTTAAAATATATAAACCTTTTCTTAAAATAATTTGAGGTGTGCTATGCTTTAAATCTATAACACTTGGCCCTCACAAATTTAGATCAAGAACTATTTCTTCTTAAAATAATTTGGGGCGTGCCATATACGAATAAAATCCTTTAATTTATGACCCTCATATAAACAAATAAAAATATTAGTATAAAAATTGCCTTGAACTTTCGTAGTTTGCTTTAGGCCCGATTTAGATTAGTATTGCGATTATATATACGTTCGCGCAATATAATTGCAAATTAAATTCTTAAAAGACTCGAGGGATGCGTTCGCACAACTTCAACCAAATTTTCTTAATAAATCAACAAAAGCATTATTAATTATGGACACATTCGCGTGACATGATTTTGATGCGCCAAAAGAAAAGAGTATACGTATGCGTAATTCAATTCTTTAATTACGAATAATTCAAGTGATTTAAAAGGGGTAAAGAGATAAATGCACATAGGTCCTAAAAATGAGTAGTTAAACAATTTAAGCCAAGTATAAATTGCTAAGCGACCGTACTAGAACCACGGAACCCGGGAATACCTAACACCCTCTTCCGGGTTAACAGAATTCCTTAATTAGAATTTCTAGTTCGCAGACTTTGAAAAGGAAAGTCGAAATTTCCTCGATTTGGGATTTAAAATAAACTGGTGACTTGGGACACCAAATAAAATATTTCAAGTGGCGACTCTGAAATAAATTAAATAATCTCATATCAAAAAATGTCACTTTAATTGGAAAAAATCTCTTATATCACCTTCGGGTGTGTAAAAAGGAGGTATGACAGCTCTGGCGACTCAGATGGGGATAAGAACCCCAGAACTTCTGGTTCAGGGTTCAAGAATTCGAGATTGTTAATGTGATTTTTATTTGGCTTTATTGTTGATATAACTATATTTTGTGGACTTAATGTGCTAATTGTCATTTACTGCTTTGATATTACTTGAACTGTATTTAAATGTCTTCTTATGCCACCCATCTGAGTCTTCTGAAAATGGTGCACACGTTCGCGTGGCCCACTTTTTCTGTAGAAATTATACCAAATAAGATGGGGTTGGGCAAGCAACAAGGCCGGGCAAACTTTCGTGCTCCCGGTACGTTGCCCCTCCTCGACCCCAGATGTCCGCTCGGGTAACCCAAGTCTAGACCTCAAACCCCAGGTTTTAAACTTAGAATAACGCAACCTCATGTCGGATCCCTAGTAGGAACGATTATTTGCATCACGTGCATTTGACCTTGGGGACTCAACACAGGAGTTGAGTCCGTCTAGGACATGTGTACCCAAAATAAAGACCATCTTGATGTATCCTACGTGCTATGTGAATATTTATTTGTTTCGGCTTGCATGTTTAAAGAGAAAAACCAAGAGTAAGGTAGGATAGAGAATTTACTCGATTTCTAAATCCCAGTATTTGAAAATATCCCGAAACTCTGTCGAATTTTTGAAAAAAAGGAAGAAAAAAAAGAAAATGTTTTTCAAAAGAGTGAGTCAAATATCATGTTTTTATGTCAAAATTAACCGAACTACGCAGGTCCGATTCTCACCGAATATGGGATACGTAGGCAACCCACATAAGGTTCGGCCTTATTTTTTTTACAAATAATAAAATAAAGGTGTTTCAGGGCTTTGGTCAAAATAATAAGTCGACCCAGCTTCGGTTGTATTTTAAGTCGTTTCTTACCGGAATAGCCTTAGATTACATTCCAATTGTCGAAAGGCTATTTTCGGGAGGAACAAGCAAGCCTATTTAAAAGGTGTCTTTTCCAATTAAATACTTACCCCGAGGCCTCAAAATTCGTTTGGAATTGTGAAGGGGCCACATTTGCAAAAAACGATCATTTTTGCTAACATAGCAATAAAAGGGGTCCTTAACTGTTGATTTTCTTCAGAAAAACTTGTTTTGCAAAAAGAATTCACAAGAGTCAACCCTAAACTTAACCCTCCGCAGGTATAAATGAATACTGTCCAGGACTCATCGCAATCTGTCATAGAATGGGCTCGGTTGCAGCTTCGCAGGTGGTGGGATGATTTAGATGAAGATGACCGATAATGGGTGAAAGAACAATTGGGTTCCCTAGTAGACATCATGCACATCAAACCCTGGAATGATTTAATTAAAGCTTTGGTAACCTTTTGGGATCCCGTTCAAAATGTGTTTCATTTCTCGAATTTTGAGCTCATACCCACTCTCGAAGAAATAGCCGGGTATATTGATTTCGACCAAGAGTTAAGAAAGCAGCAACTCATATTCCCCAGGGCTCCCTCGGTGCACAAATTCTTCGATCTTCTGAATATTAGCAAACAAATGAACAAGGCCCACGCGAGCAAAGGGTGTTGCTCTTTCTACTTCCTGTATTTCAGGTTCGGGCACTCAGCCGGGTTTGAAACACATGAAAAGGGGTTGAGTAACAAACAAGACAAGAGCATATGGCAAATTCATCGTCGATTTGCCTTCATCGTGGCAACTTTAGAGGTCATGGTCTTTCCAAATGCGGAGGGCACAATAGACATTCGTATGGCCAGAATCGCACAGGTCCTTGTCGACAAAAAAGATCACACACTTGTCCCATTAGTACTGGCGGACATTTACCGGGCTTTAACCCTATGCAAATTTGGGGCTCAATTTTTCGAAGGTTGCAATGTTCTTCTTCAAATGTGGATGATCGAACACCTTCGCCGTCATCCTAAGTTCATGAGATATGCTTCGGACGGGAACAATTTCATCAAAAAGTATGAGGAAAGGGTGGAAGACTACAAACCGCCAGAATGGTTTGAAGCCTGGGTTTCCTATTTGAGAAAATTGAGAGCAAATCAAATTGAATGGACCATATGATAGCTCCCGGTAATAGAAGTCATATACATGACCGCTTCAAAGGGCTACTTGATGATAATGTGAGTGAGAAGCATACAACCATATGCGCCACAACGAGTTCTAAGACAACTGGGAAGATATCAAGTGATACCCGAAGAGGCAGATCTAAGCACCCAAGTCATTGAATTACACCCAGAAGCAACGATACCCAAGGCTTTAGTTCAAAGGGACTGGAATTGTTGTCGGTATCTAAAAAGTGACACCCAGTTACCAGACCCGGTTAAGGGAGAAGTTGATCCCAATTATATTGCTTGGTTTGAAAGGAGCTTCTATGCGAACAATGAGCCGAAGCTCGAGCCCAAACCCAAGAGGCCTGCCAAAAGGCCCCATGTTCAAGCCTTTGATGACAAAATTCAGGAAAGGTTAGCCTGGGTGAAAAGGAAAAGAAATATCGAGCCACCATTCACGCTTTGCGAGAAAAGATGAGAAATGTCACCTTCAACAATGATTTATAGGCACAAGAGGCCGAGGGTGAGAGGAAAATATTGGTTCAAGAAAATGAAGCTCTCAGAGCCTAGGTTCGACAGCTGAGAATAGCAGCCGAGAATCCGGGCAGAAGCAGGAAAGATGAAAGGCTCATTTACAACCTTACCTAAAAGGTGCGTGACTATGAAGATGACCTGCAGAAAGCTGAGTCTGAGCTAGCAAAAGTACAAACAAAGTTGACTACAAATGCCGAGGGGCGTGCAACTTTCGTTCAACAGATGAAAAAAAGATATGAAAGAGGGGTCACAGGTTGGGGAAAAGGAGATTAGCAACCTCGAAAGTAAACAATCCAAAAATTTTAAAGCCGAGAGAGAACATTGTTACGCCTTGATGGCACGGTTGGAAGGGGACCTACAGCACTTGCGAGAGTAGAATC